TACATTTGCACATTTTTTATTCCTTAATGTACTGTACAGTACAATACACCAAACAACAACAAAAAATATTCTGCCCCAGCATCACATCTTTGTTCTGGGTCAGGCCAGAGAATCTCGTCAACATCACAGGCTATACTGGCCCTAGCTAGGCAGCGGGGGGGAATCCTCTTGCATGCCTGATCCACCCCTGGCATCAGCTGAAATGTCTAGTCAGGCTTCTTCCATTCCATCGTCTCGGTGTCCTACAAAAATAGATGTACTGATTACTGTAACATCCTTTTTACAAAATGTAGAGCATGTAGAGTAGAGCACTCAAAGGTTACAGTAGAGTACACTGAGGAACACCTACCTGTTTTCCTCCCTGGAGGTTCTTATGATCGAGGCGACGGTGAAGCAACTTAAGTTTGGCTGAACTCATTGCCCAGCCTCCCTCATAGTCATACCATGGACAAGGACATGGTCAACTTGTGGCACGAATTTCATCTGAGACTCCTTGTCTCCTTGCCCCTCATCCTCATCCTCCTCCTCTTCCTCCACTCCTTACTGCTCTTGCTCATCCTCTTTCTCCTCCTCCTCTCTGGTGTCCTCGACCTTTTCAATCACATCTCTCTGGATCCACTGTTCCAAAACTGAATTAACTGACTTGGGCTCTTTTATCTATCTATTGAAGGTTCTGATTGGTGTGTGATAAATTTTTAGTGTTTCCACGTGGGTAACTGTGTGCTAATTGAGCTCAAGCTATGCTGACTTGAGTGAACAATATTGAATGCCAGTGCTTTCTAAATGACAACATGGCCTAGGCAATGAGAAATCAAGGGATTTGTGTGTAGAGTTTTGCAGTGACAGTTCAACAAATCTGATTCATGTGTCAAAAAGGTGAATAGTGTTTATAGTTTAGGGAAATGGGTGTGCTTTTTGATAAATGGCGTTATGGTTTTGAAATTTTAGTTCAAAAGCCTGGTGATAGTGTTTAAGCAACCGAGAAAAACTGTAATAGTCTGTCTGTGGCCACAAGCAACTTTTTGAACTCGTAAATGTCGAAGTGTCACAATAATAAATATATCACACGACACTGTAGGCCTGAAATACATGCAGCGCTGCTCACAGACTATCCAGTGTCTTTCCCGCCATTTTTAGACTCACATGCAAAGAGAAGAGAGCGGACACCGGCTTGTGATCACTAATAGTGAAGCCCATATGACTGTGGTAGTAGTGCTGGGAAACTCTGGTAGCGCCGCCCAGCCATGAGGTCAAACCCCACTGTAGTGCAGAATTATGGGACGGCACGGGGGAGCCCGTCCTGCGCAGACGCCACAAGATGCGATCCGTCCATGCAGGCTTCCTCTTTTTTGCACTAGGAAAGGAAGCCGGGTTTAAACAAGAGTCCAGAGAAACATGAAGACTCATGTAAAAAAGCATAATAGACCTCGTGTCATAAGTATGTGTCCCCACATCAAACTTGTAGGTTGGCGGGAAATTGAGGGGGCCCTCCATAAACCCCTCCAGAACGGCTTCACTTTTTTTCGCCATGTTGAGCTGTGTCAAAGACAAAACAAAAAGACGAAGTGTTCTTTCACTTTATCTTTTTAACAACAACCCAATCTAGCAGACATCACAACATATGGTGTGCACATGCACTGAAGAGCTGAATCCAGCCGCTCTGTTTATAAATGTAGTACACTGACCTCTAGTGGTTACAATACAGATTGAAAAAAAACTGTATCGCCAAGATCTGTATGGTGACATCTGGAGGTATGTGACTGAGACAAGGACAATTTTCTGAGCTTATCTGATATGTTCAACATTGCTTCAACAGTTGGATCTGTACATCACATGCACCTGTGCAATCAGTTTCCTTTATGGCCCCGTTCCAAATAGCACAATTGATGTAGACTTGAGACCTCATCCTATGTTCATTTTATGACTCAAAAGGGTGTTCATGAGCATTATGCGACAACATCCATGACAATTTGGGCATTTGGAACAGGGCCTCCCTTGTGTAAAAGAATTGCACTTTAGCATACATTTAAAATATACTGTCCAACATATACTAAACTACATGTAATTTCTATTAAACCCGTATGTCATGTATTTAAATATATTTAAATTAGTCATTTGTAATAATGTAGCAATTTAGTACTTAAAAATGTATTTAGTCATTTAAAATATATTCATGTTTCAAAATAAAACATCAAAACAAGTGTACTTCATGATGACAGACTTTTAAAACATAATGATTTAAACTTACAATTGTACTTTAAACTAAAAACCTTTTTTTTTTTAAAGTGCACTTTTTTAAAACGTGTACTTAAATGTGTTTAAAACACATGAAAGTGTACTCTCTCGAAGTGTACTTTTTTCATTAATATTATATTACCTGCAAGAACAGTTTGTAGGGTGCTGTGTGTACATTAATGAGGAAAAAAAATTACTTAAATGATTTTAGCAAATGGCTGCAATATAACAAAGAGTGAAAAATTTAAGGGGGTCTGAATACTTTCCGTACCCACTGTATATATATATATATACTTCAAATATAAGTGCACATTTAATACAATTATGTGCACTTCTTTTTCACAAGGTCTATGATGGTCTCCAAGCAACCTGTGACATTATAGCTCTTTTACCTGATCTTTCTCCCACAGTAGAGGCAGTTTGTCATTCTCAATTGCACTTTTCACCACGTGAATGTCATAACCTTCGATTCGGAAGTTCAGATCACCGAACCAGAACACCACACTGTGAGGAATGCAATAATATCCAGTGAACTCCACAGGTCAAAGTTCAAAGTGTAAGCTGTACAAAGTACATCTGTACAAAAGCCACACAGATTAAGGCTCAAACTAACCAAATAAACATCACAAAATTGTATTAAAAAGAAAATTCTAACATTTTGCAATGATGACTGTCTGACTACACATTATGTGTACGAAGATACCATGTTTTTTTTGGATGAGTAAATAATCGAATAACGACCGCATTTTCATTTGTGAGTGAACTATCCGGTTAAACACTGTGCTGAGAAGAACAGGTGTGCTGTGCAGTCAAAGCTGAAATGGACTGTGCAGAGACTTGCAGTTTATTAGCAGCACTGGTGCAGCAGTTCCCACGGGATGTGCTCTCTCTTTCTGGTTAACTCGCTGGGGAGAAGTGAGAGCTGCTGCTGTGTGTGTGTGTTCAGTCTGTCTTTGATTGAACATAAATTAACCTGATGTGTGTGTGTGTGTTTGTGCACTGGAAGACAGATCAGAAACAGAGCTGCTGCGTGTCCTACTGTGCCCTACTCAAAGGAGACTGCAGAATAAGCCTGGAGCCATACTGACAACAACACACACAGGGTCACACATGCTCACTATCACATAACAAAAACACGCTTGCAGTCTAATTTCCACGCTCTCCCTTTGACTCCGCTTCTTCTGTAATCATCAAAGACATCACACAGCGGGAGTCGTGACATTATGCAGATATTTGATGTTCAACATTAAAGTGTTAATGCAGCACAACAATCTCTTTCCCAGATGTCTTTTCTCTTTTGACTCACCCAGTAGCCTCCCAACCCAGTGCGTGTGCTTTGGGTTTGTACTCCTCTGAGGAAGGGAAGGTGGCAGAATTTGGAAAACACCAGTAAGAAAACCCCCTGCATCCTCTGAGATGCCACCTAGAGGGAAATAAAGCTATTTGAAGTTGAACCCCTCATTAGTGGGGTTTACTAAGGCATACATCACTATTACAATTTGAACAAACCAAATCCAAATGTACTTCAGTTTTTAACACCAGGGTTTACATGTGTGCATGTGATATCAATTTAATCATCAACATAGCATACATATACTGTACATGTGCATACAGATTTTTCTATCCCTTTGTAACCCTGTATGCTCAGTTTGCACATGCACCTTGAATTAGTTTGTCCACAAGGTGGCAATACTGCCACCACCTGTTTTTAACAGTCAGAAAAGAAACAAAAATGGAGCAATAACAACCTCCCAGAGACCCAACAATATACGATTGTGTTGACTCATATAGGTAAGCCAGTTAAAGGAATAGTTCACCCCAAAAATACAATTTGCTCTCCCTCAGGCCATCCAAGATGTAGATTAGTTTGTTTCTTCAGAACAGATTTGGAGAAATGTAGCATTACATCACTTGCTCACCAATGGATCCTCTGCAGTGAATGGGTGCCGTCAGAATGAGAGTCCAAACAGCTGATAAAAATATCACAATAATGCACAAATTATCCACATGACTCCAGTCAATCAATTAACATCTGAAGTGAAAAGCTGCATGTTTGTAAGAATCCATCATTAAGCCATTTTAACTTTAAACCGTCACTTCTGGCCAAGATACCAGTAAATAATCAATTTTAATGCTTCCATCTCCTGTTGTCCTATCACATCAAAATCCAGCGATATATTTATTTAGAACTGTTTTGGACTGTTTTGCTCATAAATGGTACTTGATCTGTGCATATTTCTCTCCTGACGAGATGACTTTTTTTCAATGGAGAAAGCAATAGTATGGATAGAGGACTTGTATTTTAGCCAGAAGCAACAGTTTGAAGATAAAAACATCTTTATGGATTTGTTTCTTACAAACACAGTTTTTCGCTTCACAAGTTAACTCATGTACTGTACTGTTGTGGATTATTGTGATGTTTTTATCAGCTGTTTGGACTCTCTTTCTGACGGCACCCATTCACTGCAGAGAATCCACTGGTGAGCAAGTGATGTAATGCTACAGTTCTCCAAATCTGTTTCTGATCTACATGTGTCTGTGACTGTATATATTAATACACATACATACATACATACATACATACATGTATATATTTAAGAAATATTTACATGTATATATATTCATATTTACGTAATTTATATTATATATAAATATATATTACATATATTTCTTAAATATATACATGTATGTATGTGTATAATATATACATAGGCTATAAATATATACAAAACACACATTATATTTTGTAAACACAAACATTTATTTTGGATGCGATTAATCGGGATTAATCGATTTGACAGCACTAATAGTTTTGAAAGAGTTTGATCTTTTTCAAGAAAATTTCAAATTTAAAGATTGTGAAATGTCATGTGGTGTAACCATCAAGTAAACAGTATTAACATATTTTCTTTACACCTTTAATAAATGCCATTAATATTTAAAAATGTAATATTAAATAAAAAGGCAACATATTTTAAATATATCATAGTAAAAGTTTTCTTTTACAAATACTATGATTCACCAATTTATAAATATCATTATGTTTTTGCAGTCGCTCAACTTGACATTCACTCTGAACTAGCTTTGCCATGTAGTAAAAAAATTTAAATGATCTGATGTTTTATAATACTTATTAACCTGGACACACAGTCATGAGGGTCTGCAGGGGGTCCTCTCTATGATATCATTTCCTGATTTATGTTGCCACTTTGATTTTGGCGGACAAATGTTTTACAAATATTAGTACGTAGTGAAGTGTCAATTTTCATAAGAAATAATAATAAAAGTTGATGTTAAACGGGATGCTTTTTACAAATTTAATTTTTTTTAAAGAGACTTTTTAAAAATCGTTATCAGGAATTGTATTCTTAATTTTTTGTATATATTTTTGAATAAATTAATAGATTTAAAAAAAAGAAAAGAAAAAAAAAAGGAATATCATGTCATTGGCCAGAACCAAAAATGCTGTTCACAGAGCTTAACTTATATTGAACCTGGAACATTCCTTTAATAAATGGAGCAAAAAGCATGAAGGGAAAAATGGAAAGGATGGCTAAACCAGAAAATAGATGCTGTGAATGCAGAGTAAGATGAGAGACCTGGGTTTGTGTGTCCTTCACACTCCTCTGCCTTCTCCCACGGTCAGAGACAGAGACTGTTGCTGTCTGCAGTGGACTGCTGAGTGTGTGAAGAGCTTTGGACAGTAGCCAGGGATGAACGTCCCCACTATGTACCTGTCCCCTCTCGCTCTCTGCTCTTCTTAGGACGTCACTGCTGATAGCAGTGAACTACAATCAGCTAAGATCAATCCTTTTGTTCAAATGACAACTATATACCCTCCCCTCTGTCCTGATCTACTTTCCTGTTGCTTGGCAACAACTTTCAGTCTCAACACCCCCCCTTCCAAACATTTCCATTCTTTCCTTTTAACATTCTGGAATAGTTCCTTTAATAAACAGGATTCTGATCGATAGGGCAATCTATGAAGAAAGTGCTAGGGATAATGGCCATCACATAGCATTAGCAATGATGCCTCTGTCTCCATCTGTTGCAGAATAATAGCTCAGAGCTTTAACACATTGGTGTCTTGGGACAGATCTTCAGTGAAAAGACAGAATGGTTTCTCAAGTATACGAGTTAAATATTAGAAAATGTTATACACATTCCTAACAGAGTTTAGCAAATATGGCCAGCATAAAAATGCAGATAAACACATGCTACGCAGAAGATGCAACAATTCATATCAACATTACAAACTGACATAACCGAGTAACTGGTATGTTTATAGCGGATATATATATATATATATTATGCAAGTCATAATTCTAATGTTTGCAACACAATGATATGTATGCAGATGTCACATATGAATATGGAAACATATGAATCAATGTTTGATATTTATTTTCATGGTAATTATTTGAATGTACAGTACATTAATGTACATTATAATAATTAAGTGTTATATATAAAAATAATGTTTAGTAAAGTTAATCAATGAAAAGATAAATGGAAAATATGACAAAAAAGTTTTTTTTCATGCAGTTCAATACAGTTAGGTAATATAAGAGCTCGTCTGCTCACACCATATTTAGTGCACTATAATAGGATAGCATAATGAAAACAGGTCATCATTAAAAATGTATAATGATGACAAATTATAACAATGGCTGAACGGAGTCAAGAGAAAAATATATATTCACAATGTAACGATATTTGTTGTTTGATGGTATTTTTGCATGTTACCTTTTACACTTTTGCTGTTTAATTAATTATTGTGTGCTTCATTATTGTTTTAATTTTGCAAAAAGGTATATGTGACAACATGCTTTGCTATTGGGGCATGTTGTCACAAAAGGACGTAAAAAGACTAATGCCTATACGAAAAAAATTACACCTGGCCATATTTTACCTATGAGTTAAGTAGGCCTGTCGCAATAATCAATATATCGACTTATCGCGCAATATATGTACATGACCTCAATAATTTTTGGTGACGCAATATATTGCCCATTATATTTACATAAATTAATGTCAGCATGTTTTGTACATTCCATTTGCGCCTGCGTCTTTTGCAGCTTCTCGTACATAATGTGATGTAGTCATGAGGTCTAGTTCAAATTTAAAAGATGCTTCTACAAAAAAAGTTTCATCTGCAGATATGGTCTGGTTTAGAGGTCTGTGCTTTTGTGCATACGGACATCTGACTGCTAAGTAGTGATTGTGTTTTTCAGAGAAAAGAAGGTCAGGGAAAAATCTGTAGATGGAAAAATCTTCATATAAGTTCTTTGTGCATTTTTCTTTTTTTCCTAATTGTTACTTTGCACTTTTTGTAAGAAAATGTTTATTTACTATTTATTCAGGTTTCAATATTTTGATACTTAATTTCCATGATCTAAATATTCTTAACAATTACAAGTTTGTTGTCATTTGGAAGTGTGTAGGCTTTCTTGCTTTAGTATGCTGTTACATTATGATTATATATTCAGTGGCATAAAATGGTCTTTAAAATGACAATAATATTGCTTATCAGAATTATTTCTGGGGCAATATATCACACAACAAAAAGTTGTTATCGTGACAGGCCTAGAGTTAAGCAAGGTCACAGGTTCTGGAGGGGTTTATCTATTAATCTCTTCATATATAATTTTAACTAATTGTGCTTATGTTTTCTTGCTCACAATCATGATAGGCCTATTTCAACTTTTTCCCCAATAGTTTAAGAGTTTTAGATCCTAGTCACAACAAGCAATACAAAGAAAACAAACTTTCTGCAGTATATGCAAAATTAGTTTGTCAAGACATTCAAATGTTTGTCTGATGGTAGAGACAATTTAGTTTGAAACCATCCTGTACTTTCCATTCATTCATTTCAGTGAATGCTGGATTTGTCATTATTAATAAACATCGGAGATATTCTTTTTGTATTAGATGGTTTTGACTGATTCTGAATTATATAGGCAAGAAATCACACCTATTTTGTGAGAGAATGGAAAAAGCAGGAGATTTCACCCAAAGAAGTCAACGACTCTGAACACTGAACACATTAATACAAACTATCATTATATAGGCTACTAATAATTTATAAACTTTTATTTTTAATTTCATTTGGTCTTGTCTCAAGAATCAGCGTCATGTGTCTTAAGAAGAATAATAGAGAAAGAATAATATTTATATATCTCCTAGAGCCCGCTGGACATCAAATAAAATCTCGAGTCCTTCCTAATGAACCGTTCGTTATCATCAACACGGTGACCTGTCCTCGCTGGTCAGTTACGAGTCAGCGCGTGCGGAAGAGATCATTCAGCGAGCCGATGGGAAGGACATCTCATGTTATGGAAATGAACGCGAGTCTGTTTGACAGATACGCTTGGTTCTTTTCGAAGTTGCTTGTCCGACGACACTCGTTTATACGCAGCAGTGCCTCGAGGTGAAGTAAACAGATGAGCGTCACGGTAAGAGCTCATATTTGACTGCCTCGTCGACCTGTGTTTCGCTTCGGAAAAGCACAATTAAGTTGATATCGAAAGAATTCTTACCTGTCCTGTTTCTCTGCACCGGAGTGTGTGTGTCCTCCTGTAGAGATGCTCATGCACACACACACACACACACACACACACACACTGGTGTGATAGTGAGTGATGGAGAGCGGATATGTCAGTCCCAAGAAGGCACGAGGAAAGGTAGCGAAAACTGTGCGTCAAACATCTTCAACAGACTCTTGACCTGTGTTTCGCTTCGGAAAAGCACAATTAAGTTGATATCGAAAGAATTCTTACCTGTCCTGTTTCTCTGCACCGGAGTGTGTGTGTCCTCCTGTAGAGATGCTCATGCACACACACACACACACACACTGGTGTGATAGTGAGTGATGGAGAGCGGATATGTCAGTCCCAAGAAGGCACGAGGAAAGGTAGCGAAAACTGTGCGTCAAACATCTTCAACAGACTCTTGACTAGTAAAGACTATGCTGGACTAAAAATGTCGTAAGACGACGTTGAATCAGCCGCATCACCGTGAGCGGAATGGAAATGTCCACTTACACGTGAGGACATTATTAACATTTACTTGAGTATTGTACTTAAGTACACGTTTTGAGTATCTGTACTTTACTTCAGTATTATTTACAAGTAGTTCTGTAATCAGATTACTTTTTTCAAGTAACTAGTAAAGTAACGCATTACTTTTTAATTTACAAGAGAATATCTGAGTTACTTTTTCAAATAAGTAACGCAAGTTACTTTTTTTTTTCAATTTATTGACTGACAGCTCTCCTGTCCCCATGTTGAGAGAAATCAGATGCTACTGTAGTTCTAAAATAAATATGAATATGCATTAATTCATCTCACTCACACAGATTCAGTATTCCTCAAAATGAATCAAAATAATGCAACTCAGAATATGACGCAAACCTGCAATAATTAAATGTTACACAACATGAATATCCTTTATGTATTTAATCCCATTCTATTAACCAATGTCTTTGCTTCTGACCTTCGATGATCCAGTTCAACTGTACTAATAAGCACAAATTACCATAAGTGTGCTGAAGTGCATTCTACTGTACGGATGTAAATGTACTTTCCCTTCAGCCTGAGGCTTATTCATTTCACTTCTGGTGTGAAAAGGCTTTTATATTTGCCAAAAATATAACTTTTTTATTTTAAAAACAAACAAGCAATTCCTGTCCAGGTTTAAAAAGTAACGTAACGCATTACTTTCCATAAAAAGTAACTAAGTAACGTAATTAGTTACTTTTTTATGGAGTAACGCAATATTGTAATGCATTACTTTTAAAAGTAACTTTCCCCAACACTGAGTTCTACTACGTACAACAATAAAACAGTGCATTGACATAAAAAAGGAAATTTACTTTTGGTACTTAAGTACTTTTAAAAGCAAGTACTTCTGTACTTTTACTTAAGTAAAAATCTGTCTTTACAACTTTTACTTGTAATGGAGTAATGTTTGACCAGCAGTATCTGTACTTTCACTCAAGTAATGGAGTTGAGTACTTTGTCCGCCTCTGTTAACATGTCAGGACTGCACAGATCCACAACTCACGAGAGCTATTCTCACAGTCCAGGCAATAATGATCCTGATGCTGAAGGTCTGGTCATTCCAACTATATCAGCATCTAGGCCTATATATTATTTAAACTTACAGTTATTACAAATGGAAATTATATTAGGCCAGTTATAGATTCCTTTTAACAACACTATTATTTGAACATGGATTTGAAGTAATTTAAGGTTTTTATTTGAGCTAATATTGTCATGCCACTGGGTGGTACACTAATTTCTAAAAACGGAAAATGTATTAGGAAATATTGTTGATGTTTCTTTTTTTTTTGTGGAAATTTTTGATGTTTCGAACAGAACATTATCCTGAAAATACTGTATTAAATGGTTATCAGTTTATAGCTTTATTTTACTGTGTCCCCAATATAATTTATAAAACATGGGAATTATATTAGGCTAGTTTGTTCATTTGTTTTTGTTTTTTACCACATCAGTATTTAAACATAGAAATGGATTTTACACACACACACATTCACACAATCTCTGAGCATAGACTGAGATTAGTGCATGTGTAATCTCAGTGGAATGCACTGTTTCAGAGCCCTAGCTGTACCCGAGCGCAAAACACGCAGGTTATAATCCTCATCCACTGCATGCGTGTACATATGAAACAGAGAAGAGCATAAGTACATAATAGACTGATCTTTGGTAGAAGCTTCAGGTCAGGTCATGTGTGTGCGCGATGTTGTGTGCATGTTATAGTCTTTTGGTTATTTAGAGTGAAAACACTCAAAATGCGAAGGTTTCTATGGCATCTTCTTTTTAGTCTTGACAAGGCCTTTCTCTACTAGGCAGCGGTAAAACTCCTGGATATACGTGTACACACACTTCCAGTCTGGCTCTCGCATCCGCATCAAGTCATCAACGTCCAGCAGGGGAGGACAGTCAGCTAGCCTCCTACACGCATAAAGACATTTAAGCTTATTTTTAGGAACATTATGGGTTGTTGTTTTTTGACTTAAGCACATTTTTGTTCCAAAATACCTAAAACACATTTCCTCCGCTTACCACACATTTCTCATTAGAATAATGGTAGAAAATAGTGAACTTTTATAAAGAATATCTCTTTGGATTTGAGACTTTAGTCTTTGCAAGTTTACAGATCTTCTTTATGCACCAAGAGCTTGTAACACTCCAAAGAGAAAGAAAAATTGAAATCGCATCATATGACCCCTTTAATTAAATTATAAAATTGTAAATAGAGTTGTTATGCTGTCTTTAATTTATGCTGATTTAATTGAAAAAAAAAGTGCCTGGATGAAAAGAGAAAAGATGAGCCATTTAAATTACAATTCATTTGAAAAAATAATAATACATTATCATTTAATTATAATAATAAAATAAATTATATGAATTATTACTATATTGAACAACTGAATATATTACAATTATTACTATTATAATAATAAATTATATATTATATTAATTATTTTATGATAATGAAAATGCTATTTCTTTTTCAGGGGAAGTATGCCCCAAACATTTCACACACAAGACATGCAAAAGTGGATGCAATAAATAGTGTCAAGTCTCACTCTGCAGTCTTGAATGCCTTCTCAAAGTTGGCCCTGCGATCATAGGGGTCAAGAGTGCAATATTCAAAGCTCTCTGGGAAGAACCTGTGTACCAGGGCACAAAACGCCAGACCGTCTGCCCAGCTAGACGAGAAATTTTGGATGTTCACACCCTAAACATAGAAACAAGTATAAAAGGGAGAATCACAACAAAGCTGTGAAGAAAAATAAATAAATAAAAAGTGTGTTTTGCTTAAAACAAAACCCATTTTTAGGACCATTAGGTTTTTTTTGCATTGTTTAAATGATAAAAGACACCCACCACCACACACCTAATTTGCAAATATAAAAAGCATTTATACCTACAGTATTTGTTCAATTTATGCTGATTTACACAAAATTAAAATTAAATTATGATTTATGATTATGACGATAAGTGGGAAATGTGCTTATATTTCATAAAAGTAATGTCATAATGCCAAAAATCTTTATAGTCATAAAAATAGGTTTGGTTCTCTTTATGTTAAAGTGTAATTTATTATTTTTTTCTTCAGATTTTGGGGTGAAATGTGACCTGGACGTCTCTTTGAGATTCACACAAGGAGGCTAGCAGAGCCTGAGACATGTAGCAAAACAGAAACTGTTTGATTTGATCTTATTTTGTCTCTTCAGGCCCACCTCATATGGTTCAGTCTTGACTCTGCACCAGTCCAGCAGCATCTGTTTGACATCTTTGGTATTTGGGCCCCCGAGCGCCGAGCTGCCTGGCACTTTAACCCTGGCTACATGGGACTGAGCCGGGCTTTAGGAGGAAAATAACACAATCAGTTAACGGGAAACGTCCCATGCTGTCGTCCTGTCAGGACTCTGGGAATGACTCACCTGCCAACAGCTTTTGGAGAGGAAGTAGAGGTTGGTGGAGAAAATGTTTTTGCCTGAGCCATCCCTGTACCAAAGTGAAGTAAAAAGAGATAAGCAAGGTTATCAAAGCCTTGCAGATTGAAGCGCAGGTACATAGTGTTCAGATCCTCATGAATGATGGTCACTCATTGTGTGCTTTGTACTGAGCGCCGCTCGGACCATTAGCGGGTTTCTGGTCCTTATTCAGTCCAGCAGCTGTCTTTCCTCCACCACCCTGCTGACGCAGGGTCTCCATCCGGGCCACCCGCTCCCTATCACGCCGCTCTGACAGAAAAAGAGGGGTTTTACTCAAAAAACAGTAAACAAAAAAAAAGTTAACAAATACACAGTAGAGGTTCATTTTATTGACTTTGACTATTTGACCTTTGGTTATTTGTGTAATAGTAAGGACTCTTAAAGGCGGAATCTTATGAAACCTGTCAAGAACATGTCTGGCTTATTTTCACACACTACTGTTCAAATGTTTGGGGTCAGTAATTTTTTTAAAACAAAACAAATACTTTTATTCAGCAAAAGTTGACAAAAAAAGTGAAAAAAAGTTGTCAAATGTGACAGTAAAGACATTTATAATGTTACAAAAGATTTCTATTTTAAATAATGCTGTTTTTATTCACTTTCTATTCATTTAAGATTCCTGAAAAAAATGATTGTTTCTACAAAATTATGAAGCAGCACAACTGTTAACATTGATAATAATCAGAAATGTGACCCTGGAGCACAAAACCAGTCTTAAGGGTAATTTTTTAAAAAATTTAGATTTATATATCATCTGAAAGCTGAATAAATAAGCTTTCCATTGATGTATGGTTTGTTAGGATAGAACAATATTTGGCCGAGATACAACTATTTGAAAATCTGGAATCTGAGGGTGAAAAAAAAATCAATGAAGTTCTTAGCAATGCATATTACTAATAATAAATTAAGTTTTGATATATTTACGGTAGGAAATTTACAAAATATCTTCATGGAACATGATCTTAACTTAATATCCTAATGATTTTTGGCATAAAAGAAAAATAAATAAGTTTGACACTTGCAATGTTTTTTTGGCTATTGCTACAAATATACCCCAGCGACTTAAGACTGGTTTTGTGCTCCAGGGTCACATATACTGAATATGTGACATCAGGGACATGACCCAGTCCTCACCCCTCTTTCTCTTCAGCAGTTCTCTCATGGCAGCGCGGATCATTTTCCTCTCCTCGAAATCCACTGCCTTATCTAGCTAGTACATGCAATAAACAGAAGGGAAACACTTTCCTAAATATGGTTAAGACGAACTATGATAACAATCCCGCTCCGCCTGCAGTGCCATTAGTTGTCTCTTACCATATTATTGAGGATCTCTTCATCCTCTATAGCTGCCAGCTGTTCGACTGTCAGGGGACCCGTCGTATCAGGCTGCTCTTTGGTACCTGCCTCTAATGTTCCCTTCTCACCCTCCATCTTCAGTGACAGCTGGGACAGAAGGAGGAACAGGAGGTGTTGATGGAGCCAGGTTACGAGATGTGTGCGTGGGAATGAGGGAGTACATTTATGGAAAGGAAAACTGAGGGAAAGAGATTCTAGCTGAATGCTTTGTGCAAGAGCTACTAGTACAGAGATATTCTGAAACCCCAAGATGCTTGTTTGAAGCTACAAATCGCTAGTCTAATTAGTCACAACCAAATTACTGGTTTGAGTGGCTTCTGAACAAACAGGTTACATTCAAAAATATTTGCGTGGTTGTTTTTTCACATTGTCAAGCTGCTTTAAGCCACACATAATGATGACTGCTTGCATCCATTTATGCAGAAAAGAGGACATCCGAATGGCAATGTCCAAATATTCATCTCAACATAAACAGAAACCATGTTGGTTGGCATTGACATTAGCCAGTGCTTTAGGATGTGTCTCGCACCTTCTGCCCATAGTCCTGTAAACAACTGAGACTCAAAGGCAAAGACATCTGTGGAATAACATGCTTCATGAGTGGAGAATATTTCCCATATTTGCAAATCTTTCCTTCCACTCGCATTTTCATCATCAGTTTTGTGTCTTCTTACAAAAGTTTGGCATTTGTTCAAGAAACTATGTTCTTAAAACTCACAATTATTGCGTTCCTCCGAAAACCTTTGCATCCGCTCACCAAAAGTACAGAGCCCCATACATGACATGTGAAAAGAAAGAAAGAAATAAATCATGGCCACAAATTAAGAATTAGTTCCCACAATTTATTAATTAGTTCTTTTGTTTTAGGTAAATCATGGCCATGTTGTACTAATTTGATCCCACAATTTATTAATCAGTTCCATCATTTTAGTTAAATTGTGGCCACAATTCAACTAAATTAACATGAGGGAACAATATAGTACAATTTGGCCACACTAAAGTTTTGCATTCCCCCAAACTCTGTGTTCACTCACAAAAGCATCAAAATATAGTTTATTTGCTCCCTATTTATGTTACCAGTTTTGCGTTCTTTTGCGAATGAATGCAGCATTTCTTGGGGGAATGCAGAGCATTGAAATAGAATTTTAATATAATTCCCCTTAGTGGATCATGTTCATAGTTAATGCAATAAACTACACTGATAGGACACCTGTGTTGACCAGCTGATTAAAAGTCAGTGCAAAGGTGGCTCAGAAAATTGAATTCAATCCTGAGAAATGCTCTGTCAGCATTTGAGCGCAGATGCCTCAAGCGTCCAGATACACTTTAGTGCTGCTGTATGTTAGTGTCTGTTAGGTACGATGTGTGGGCTGAGGCTAGCAGAATAGGTCATGTTGTTTCTGCATCCCATGATACAGTTTTACCCTAATAACACATAATAATGTCATCGGAATTTATATAACCGCTCAAAAAGAGTTTGCTCTTACACTGTTCTAATAGCTGTTATGTAATCACACAATCATTACACTGAAAGATAGATGGAAATTCATTAGAAAAAGCTCTTGTAAAATCTCGCAAAATGACAAACAGAAAGATGAAGCTCACCGATCTCACTGCAGCTGTCCGAGAGGAAAGGTCTTGCAGTCTGATCTGTGTGATCACTTACGCTCAACTCAACTCAGATGCTGGAGTGACTTGAGTTTTTCAGAGCCACCGTGAGAGCCCTCCCATCCGACCCTCATCACCCTCTTCTGAAGGGACCAGGGGAAAAAATGTGGAAAGAGCAGAACGGGACATTAAGTATTAGTGACATATTTGGCACTGCTTGTCCTGATCTTTCCCTACTGTCAGTTTTTACTCACAAGATCACACTGCATCATCATTTTATCTAAGCACTGTCACTTTCAGAAGTGGCATCAGAGTATTTATACATTTGAAAACCGGAGGAAAGAAAACATTGAGATAAACGGTTCTCCCCCAGCATGCTGTGTGTTGACAATGATTGCATAAGCAGGTGGCCTGGCTCTATGCAGAACTAAACAGTGAATGAGTGGACAGACGGAGAACACTGCCTTATTAAGACATAAGAATGATGTTGCCTAGCAGCACCTCCATGTTTACACAGATCAGACACATCCTTTTCTCCTATGCAGACATAGCACGTCACAGTATTTATCTACAAAAGCAGGGGCCAGAAAAGTCATTAGCACATGTCAATTTTCATGTTCACACCATTACAGTATGATTGAGGCATTCTGTGTGTGTAATGATAAAGGAGTGTTTGGCTCCACCTAGTGGTGGCTGATGGGTATCGCGGTCATTTGCTGGCAGAGGTGAGCTAGCATGACACATGGAAACAGTGAGGGTGAAGGAAACCTGGACTTACACTGAATGTTCAGTGAGTCATTTTGAGTAATGTGGCATATTGAAGATACAAAAGTGCTGCTGTTATAGTGACAGAGTCATGCAAAGGCACTTACAATGTAATGTTTCATAACTTTCAACATGCTAGTTTTGCTCAACTGTGCAGCGTCATGTTGTGACACCAACAAAGTTGTACATTTGTATATAGCTTTACACAGAAAAGGTTGGCAATTGATATTTTCACGCTAAAATTATAAATTTAACATGCATATTGTTTACATCCTGTGGCTATAATATCGAAAGTCTATGTTTTAATGGCCCCTTTCACTTCCATTTTAAGTTCCTCACAGTATTTTTTATTTTTTAAAGACAGGAAAACAAAATCTCAGACCACACTAGACCACTGTCATCCTAGCATGTTTTAGCATATTTCTAATGTTTTAACATGCTACTAGCATTTTTTAACACATTGCTAACATATATTAACATTTTAGCATGTTTTAACATATTTCTAACATTTCAACACATTGCTAACATTTTTTAACGTGTTTCTAGTATGATTTACCAGGTTGCTAACATGTTTATAGTTTGATTTAATATGTTGCTAGCATGCTTTAGCATGTGTATAGCATGTTTGAACATATCTGTTTTAACACGTTGCTAACATGTTTTAACACATTACTAGCATGTTTTGGCATGTTGTTAGCATATTTTTACACATACATAGGTTTTAGCATGTTACTAATATATTTCTAACAAGGTTTAGCATACTGCTAGCTAATACTAAAATAGCATACTGCTATACTGACGTGTGACAGCAGAAGGCATGAGACTGTGTGTTTTTGTACCAGTATATTAACAGCTTTTCATGATTGTAAAATACATCAATATAATAAAATAAGCATTTACATCTGATATTTTGCTGACATCAGAAACAATTTATACACAGGAGCCATACAGTTATGCAAATTATCAGTGCAATTTTGTGCTGCAACCAATAAAAGACACATATCAAAACCGTCAGACTGTCACTCAGTGTTGAGATCTCAGCATTCGAAATTTCATCCGGTACATTAGTGACCCAGTAAAATCTCAACAAATTCTTCACAGGAATAAGCAATAATCTGAGGTATTTATCTGATAACCCTCACCTCATGTTTGACGGTGAAGAGGAAAAAGTATCAGAAACTTTGCTTTCATTGTTGATAAGTAATTTTTATACTAATTGCAGTTGACCGCTGTGCTTGCGAACATTACACAGCATGAATACGCAGTGCCACGTTCAGTGATAAGGTGTGGTCACATTAGCGAAATTTCAACTAAAAAAGTCCATTGGCTACTGTCAACAGTTTAGCAATGTATGAAGCAGTTTACCCAGAGGTCACCCTTTAAACAAATCAGCTTTCTGTTGGTCAATGAGGCGAATTTGCATGAGGAACATGTGGGGACCTTATGCGAATCAATTTCGGTGGTCAACAGTAAATGTGTCTGGACCTATAGACTGGTGTATCAGCTAGGCCATTTTGAAATTATTGCCATAGCATAGACCAGGGGTGCCCAAACTCGGTCCTGGAGGGCCGCTGTCCTGCAGAGTTTAGCTCCAGCTTGCCTCAACACACCTGCCTGGAGGTTTCTAGTATAGTAAGAGCTTGATTAGCTGCTTCAGGTGTGTCTGATTAGGGTTGGAGCTAAACTCTGCAGGACACCGGCCCTCCAGGACCGAGTTTGGGCACCCCTGGCATAGACTATTAATTATGCCTGTATTGCCGATTAATAGAAGTGTTAACACCCCCTTGTGTAAATGTCAAAATATACCACCCTTAACAATGGATAACACACCAAATAAATTGATTGATCATAGATTGATCTTGTGCGATGCTTTTCCTATGATGCTGTTGAAATGAGTGCAAACACTGAAGCATGGATGGACAGTTGAGACCTTAATAAATAAAGCTTAAAAGGCTGGTGTTTCCTTATGAAATCAGCCCTCAGGTAGGCACACTTGAATCAGTGTAGGCTTTTATCGTGGCTCCATAAGACTGCCTACACTTAAACACCCACTAAGATACATTCACATCTTCATTCATTTCCAGTTAGCCAAATCTAAGAACCCAAAAATGGCTTGAGTGAGTTGTTATGATAGCATACTAAACCCCAGCATGTTGGGAAACGGGCAAACTGCCTGATATTTGTATTTAATGCACTTCAATTCAGTTAAAAACAAAGTCATAGTAACCTAATCATATGCTTTCTATCCAGCAGATGGCAACAAAACTCTGAGGGAATGACCTTGATATGTACCTCGGTCTAGAACAGGGCTGTCCAAACTCGGTCCTGGAGGGCCGGTGTCCTGCAGAGTTTAGCTCCAACCCTAATTAAACACACCTGAACCAGCTAATCAAGCTCTTACTATGCATAGAAACTTCCAGTCAGGTGTGTTGAGGCAAGTTGGAGCTAAACTCTGCAGGAAACCTCCAGGACCGAGTTTGAACAGCCCTGGTCTAGAACCTCTGTTAGTGTACATTTTTTTGTAACACCTTCAAATGCACAAATCACTGTCCAGCAGGCGTCAATAAATCAACAGAACAAATCAATCAAGATACTGCTATACTGACGTGTGACAGCAGAAGGCATGAGACTGTGTGTTTTTGTACCAGTATATTAACAGCTTTTCATGATTGTAAAATACATCAATATAATAAAATAAGCATTTACATCTGATATTTTGCTGACATCAGAAACAATTTATACACAGGAGCCATACAGTTATGCAAATTATCAGTGCAATTTTGTGATGCAACCAATAAAAGACACATATCAAAACCGTCAGACTGTCACTCAGTGTTGAGATCTCAGCATTCGAAATTTCATCCGGTACATTAGTGACCCAGTAAAATCTCAACAAATTCTTCACAGGAATAAGCAATAATCTGAGGTATTTATCTGATAACCCTCACCTCATGTTTGACGGTGAAGAGGAAAAAGTATCAGAAACTTTGCTTTCATTGTTGATAAGTAATTTTTATACTAATTGCAGTTGACCGCTGTGCTTGCGAACATTACACAGCATGAATACGCAGTGCCACGTTCAGTGATAAGGTGTGGTCACATTAGCGAAATTTCAACTAAAAAAGTCCATTGGCTACTGTCAACAGTTTAGCAATGTATGAAGCAGTTTACCCAGAGGTCACCCTTTAAACAAATCAGCTTTCTGTTGGTCAATGAGGCGAATTTGCATGAGGAACATGTGGGGACCTTATGCGAATCAATTTCGGTGGTCAACAGTAAATGTGTCTGGACCTATAGACTGGTGTATCAGCTAGGCCATTTTGAAATTATTGCCATAGCATAGACCAGGGGTGCCCAAACTCGGTCCTCGAGGGCCGCTGTCCTGCAGAGTTTAGCTCCAGCTTGCCTCAACACACCTGCCTGGAGGTTTCTAGTATAGTAAGAGCTTGATTAGCTGCTTCAGGTGTGTCTGATTAGGGTTGGAGCTAAACTCTGCAGGACACCGGCCCTCCAGGACCGAGTTTGGGCACCCCTGGCATAGACTATTAATTATGCCTGTATTGCCGATTAATAGAAGTGTTAACACCCCCTTGTGTAAATGTCAAAATATACCACCCTTAACAATGGATAACACACCAAATAAATTGATCGATCATAGATTGATCTTGTGCGATGCTTTTCCTATGATGCTGTTGAAATGAGTGCAAACACTGAAGCATGGATGGACAGTTGAGACCTTAATAAATAAAGCTTAAAAGGCTGGTGTTTCCTTATGAAATCAGCCCTCAGGTAGGCACACTTGAATCAGTGTAGGCTTTTATCGTGGCTCCATAAGACTGCCTACACTTAAACACCCACTAAGATACATTCACATCTTCATTCATTTCCAGTTAGCCAAATCTAAGAACCCAAAAATGGCTTGAGTGAGTTGTTATGATAGCATACTAAACCCCAGCATGTTGGGAAACGGGCAAACTGCCTGATATTTGTATTTAATGCACTTCAATTCAGTTAAAAACAAAGTCATAGTAACCTAATAATATGCTTTCTATCCAGCAGATGGCAACAAAACTCTGAGGGAATGACCTTGATATGTACCTTGGTCTAGAACAGGGCTGTCCAAACTCGGTCCTGGAGGGCCGGTGTCCTGCAGAGTTTAGCTCCAACCCTAATTAAACACACCTGAACCAGCTAATCAAGCTCTTACTATGCATAGAAACTTCCAGTCAGGTGTGTTGAGGCAAGTTGGAGCTAAACTCTGCAGGAAACCTCCAGGACCGAGTTTGAACAGCCCTGGTCTAGAACCTCTGTTAGTGTACATTTTTTTGTAACACCTTCAAATGCACAAATCACTGTCCAGCAGGCGTCAATAAA